GGGGAATCTGGGTTCGTTCTATATCTTAGCTATGGTGAATAATGCTTGATAAAAAAAAATAGCTATGCTGGTAGCTTTAGTGTGGCCTTGTTTGTGTTTGTTTGGGTAAATGCCCAAAAGCGAGATTTCTGGGTCAGTGGGGAGCTGTATGTGTAGTCTTTCAAGGAACCTCCATACTGCTTTCCAAAGTGATTAAACAAGTTTACACTCCCACCAACAGTGCAATAGGGTTGGTTCTCTTTTGGCCACATCCCCTCCAACATCTGTTGTTATTAGATTTCTTTATTATAGCCATTCTAAGTGGGATGAGGTGGGATCTCAATGTTGTTTTGCTTTGCATTTCTTTTATGGCCAGAGAAGTTTCTTCATGTGCCTATAATCTTATCAGATAAGCAGAAAAGCATAAAAGCTATATGCATATGACCATATAAGATGATGTTAAGCAAAATGAACCCCAAGAGGTTTTCCTTTGTTGTTGTTTTTAATGTATTGTGTGATTTTTTAATTCTTTTGTTTGTTCTTCCCCCTATGGTATATCCCTGTTGATTTTGGTACTTTGCATCTTACATATACACTTATCAAATTGGGGGGGGGACAAGATTAACAAAATGCTGAAAAAAGGACACAGGATGATCCATTGTAACAATGATGCTCACAGGCCCCTATGTTGGAAATGGACTTTACAACTTTGGAGTGGGGGACTAGGGAAGGGAAGGGATAGCAGAAGAAAAAGGAGGGAGTAACTGCTCAACAAGAAATGTACTTGTTACTTTACTCACGTAACTGTAACCCCTCTGTACAGCATTTTTACAATAAAATTTAAAAATTAAAATTTTCTTTTTCCATTGAAATCATTGGCAAGTGTAGACCAGACTATTCAAAAATACCTACAAACAATACAGTCTGAAATTCTATAGAGTTCTTAACCTGTGACCTCCCAAACCAGCTGTATTTGTTAAACTTTCATTTTTGCCAAGAAGAGAAGTAATAACAGACATGTTGAACTCTCGCTTCTCACACAGAAAAGCAATGATTTCATCTGCCTTCCTAGTCAACCCCTGTGTCAGGATGTATTTGTCTGAGAACACAAGAGCATGAACCCATTTTTAAGAAACTACACTGACTCCCTCGTCAAAACCAGGATATTTAAACATTCCACTTCCTACAGAAATAAGAACAGCAGCTATCTCAGGCTAGGCTTTCCTGGTCTTCAAAACCTTATCTCGCAATCTCTTGAAAATTCTGCTTTAATAAGATGATTGAGCCCTCTGGCTCATTTGAAAACATTGTAATGCAACTGTTTTTAAATATCAGTGAGGAAATAGGCCGATGGGACCAGGTTACCCAGTCTCTTAAATAACTGATCAATGCACCATGGCCCTCAAAAGAAGGAAATTGGAAATTCCAGAGCTTCAGTTTGAAGAAAAGGGGCGGAGTGTTTTCTTTGATCATTTTGTCTAACATGACCTATTATTTCCACTGCTTTATTTTTTAAATTGTAGAAACCTCAAAGGTTCTTACCAAGCGTCTCCAAAGATTCCTATAACCAAGAGTGAATCTCTTGTGTTGACTAAGTACTGAGCCCTTTTATATTCAAATGCAAGATAGTAAAAAAAAAATCTGTAAATAGGAGCTAACAGAAGAATTGAGATGAATTCTTGAGACATCTAAACAGGAAAGAATCAGTCAAACATCCATGTCCAACTGGCCAGGAAGCAAAAAGAACTTTGGAAAACTGAGATGCCTCAGGAGTATAGAGGCAATACCCCTTTGCAGGTTCAAGGGCAAGGTACACTTGCCCTTAGCTTTCTGCAGTTTTGGTAATCATGCCTTGACTAGTATCAGCCATATTTCCCAACTAACTCACACCCATCCACCATCTCAACTCACAGAATGCTACTTGCTCCCCTCAGTTTCCAGGTACAATTATGACTTAATCAGAAAGGGTTCCCTGAACTTTTTTTTCAGCACTGCCTTTTCCAAGTGACATCTACTGCCAAGTCTTCTGCAGCTCTGCAGTCACAGTTGGAAAAAAAAAAGTAAAGCAATTGGATATCTTCCCTTTAAAATATCATTCAATTAGGCCTTTTGTAATACATACAACATAACGAGATAGCCTTACCAATTCTAAAGAAATTGCTAGTGCATTTCATCAAAGGCACAATAATGGAAACATCGATTCACTCCTCACTGAAAACATCACTCTTTGATGCTGCTGTTACCTTAAAGCTAGCACTTTTCAATTTCTCTAGAAGGAAACAGCTACCTCCATGCATGCACATCAAAGGGGAGTGTAGTCTGAAATCATATTTGTGTATTAATCTTAAGTATATTTGTATCTTCATTTACTCTTGCATACCATCACTCTCCTTAGATTGAAACCACCAAATTACCTCCCAAATAAAGAAAAAAAGATCCTCTACAGCTTGGATGACTGAGGATAGATGTTTTATTACCATCTCTGCAAATGTTGCCAGGGGCCTAATCTCCCTTCTCACAGCATCTATTTAAAAGAAGGATGACCAGGAACAGGTAAGAATCTTTATGGGTCTAAAGAACATTCAGCTACATCTAGCAAAAGATGTCAGCAAGAAGGAATACCTAAGGAATAATGTATCTGGAGATGTGTGGTGTGATTAGGAAAATCCATCAACACCCACAGCCACATTTCCAAATATTTTTACTAAGTGTAAAAGCAGCCTATCAAGTCTGAGAGGATTTTGATGGCATTATATCCACATGGTACTTCATGAGCACTGCCCCAGAGCCTCTCAGTGCTGTAGAGATCTCAGAATGAGAGACCACTAGATAACACAAGAGACATACTGAATTTGGTTTATTAACCTATGTGTGTATGTGTGCAAGTGTGTGTATGTGTTTGTGTGTATGTGCATGCGCGCACATCTCAGTCGTGAACTTGTGACAGCACAGACTTGCTAGGTAGATGCTCTACCACTTGAATCACATCTCCAGCCCTATTCGTTCTGGTTATTTTTGAGATTGGATAGGTTTTACTTTAGGTCCAAATTGGCCTGAAATTGCAGTCCTCCTGATTTTAACCTCCCACATAGGTGGGATGACAAATGTGTTCCATCACAATCAACTGCTGGTTGAGATGGAGTTTTGTGGATGGTTTACCAGGGCTGGCCTCAAACTGCAATTCTTCCAAATCTCTGCACCCTAAGTAGCAAAGATTATAGGTACAAGCCACTTGTTATCCAGCCTGCTTGTTCAGCTTCTTGGTTGGTAAGCTGGTTTGTCTTTGTGGAAATATGGTTTATATGTTTGAGCTTCATATGAATAAATTATCTTCCAACTGTTTAACAACATTGAAATAATTTTACTTTTTTAAATAGAGCTTCAATAGCTCTGTTTTTACTAAGTATCGAAACTCACATACTATCTGAGATTTGGCCAAGTCTCACACAATATCTACTTGATGCCATGAAAGAAACGTATTCGCAAAGGTTTTTGCTCTGCAAATGTCATGGTACTGTCCTTAGGGAATTGCGTTAAGTACCTGGCACCCACCATGAGGTTTTGTTAATGAGAGATAGAAAGGTTATGTTGAAGTTATTGTTTAAAGGTGCTGACATCACACACATACACAGACAAACTCACAACCACAATCATTCACAAGCATATACCGAAGAGTAGCTGTTTTCAAATCTAAGAAATTAGAGAGAAGCTACTTCAAACAAGGTTATTGTGTGAACATCTCTCTGCAGGAGAGTGCCTGTAATTATCTGTTCCTTTCAGTGGCTGATTCCACAACACCATTACATAGTAGCTTGGCATCTGTTCTAAAGTTCTGGAGATGGCAGGAAGTACAAAACAAGGGCCAGTATAAATTCCCTTTTTCATATGTATAGGTGGTACAGTGGGTTTGTTTCAACAACATGAATTCATCCACAATTCATCCATTTAACAGACATTTGGAAATAAGATCCAATGCTGAATCAGAGATGATGGCTTAGGCACATGGAAATAGCAAAGATACTGTCCAGACTTTGCAACTAAATGGATAGAATTAAGGAATGCTGGAAGAAAGCCAGCAATGCTAGGGAAAGGTCAGGAGTTTGTTTGAGTAGTACACTGAAGCTTCTGAAACACACATGAGACAATGTCCAATCCACATACATGGATTTAGAGCTTTAGGAGTATTAACTGTGTTGGGGTATCTTTAAGGTATTATTTTTTTACAACAAAACGCACTTGTAAGAGGCTTTCTTTCCATTGCTAAACTCAGAGCAATAGTATATTAAAGTTTCACCAAACCACAGGATCATGGTATAATGAAATTTACCTTACATAATATGTATTCAAATGCTGCCACTTCCCACTGGTGGGTGTGAATAACACCTTATCCTCTTCCATTCCTCATTTCAAACTGTTTTCATCCTTTCATCCTCCCTTCCTTCCTTTACTTCTTCCCTCTTTTCTTTCCTCTCCCTCCTCCCTTCCTGTCTTCCTTCTCTCTTTCTCTTTCTTTTCATCCTTTTTTCCTTCTTCCTTCCATTCTTCTTCCTTTTTTTTGGATAGTCTTCCTATTTAGCCAAAGTTGGCCCCAAAATAACCATCTACCTACCTCTACCTCCCATGTGTAAAGATTATAAACTAAGATTATTAACTAAGATTTTAAGATTATTGTGGTTCACATTGAGCAATCTACATCTTTGCTTACATAATCACTACAAAATTATAATGGTATCTCCTACTTACTTCACAAAGTTATTTGGGGAAAAAAAGCTAACTGAATAAAATTTTAGAGAAGGCTATTTTAAAACTGTGAACTGCTGAAAAGCACCACCAACAAATGAAATATATACCTGCCAGTATATTTTGATACTTAAGTGTGACAAAGGGAAGTTCCCTGCTGTAGAACAAACCAAACTTGTTTAGAATGATGACATGTCATTGAATTCCCTCCAAAATTTGAGTTGAGAAAACATACAATGGGACATGGCCAACCACCAGTCAAACAGTGCTTTTATTTTCACCTTTTGATCCATACTGTAGGCCAGCACCCAGTCTTCTTGCTTGGGATGAAAGAGAAGACTCTGAATGAAAAAGGTAAGTCGATACTTCTGATAGGTCGCCCCTTCATCTGAGCTGATCAGGATGCTGCTCTCCATTTCAGGATCACTAAGAAGCATGATCTGAGGACAAAGAAGAGAAGGCATAGAATTAACAGAATGGAATATGTACAAGACATTAAATCACAAACATAACATCGAATCATCTGTGCTGGTATATCACAGGCATAAAAATAAGGGTAGCTGGGCCTCTTTATGAAATATTGGTCCCTCTTCACTTTCCAGATTTAGTCTTCATTGCTGAATTAAGAACAAATAAAGGATAAGTCTAGGTCTGCATACACAGGAAGCCTTCAGTTTTGGCATTCTGAGAGCATATTATTATGGTCCTCTGACTGTGCCCTGACCTTGTGATTCTTACATCAATCTTTGTTTCTCCATCTCTCTCTCCATCTCTCTCTCTCTCTCTCTCTATCTCTCTCTCTCTCTCTCTCTCTCTCACACACACACACACACATACATTTCTTATCACAATTGTAGTAAAGACCATTATCTCAAATTACATTGCTTGCTCTTTTCTTTCCAGCCTCCTTTAGTGAATTGATTGATTTTAGTGGATTTTATGACTCTAGTGTCACAGGTATTTTTCAAAGCATATATCCCCAAGCATCCCTAAGCTAAACACTGCTGTGGCAGATTTGTCATCCTCAAGCCAAGTGGACAGAAACCGATGCAGTGAAAAAAGGCTTTTCTTTTATCTGGTTCTTCTTTTCACCTCTTCTAGACACTCAGTAATATTCCTTTCCATATGAACATTCCTCCACCCTCCATGATGACCTTCTTGCTTCCCTCCACAAACTGTTACTCAGTGATGTCTTCTCAATTTTTTTCAGTTGCTTTCCTTTTTTGTTTGTTTGTTTCAATTACCATCTTCCTGATGACAACTTGTAAAGTAAATTTCCAAGTACCAGCTACCTGACTCCATCTCAGTTTCAGACATAAAGACTCAACTAAACAGATCCTCCTGTTTGGATTTCCCATAAACACCTGCAGTAAAAGATGTCCCTCAGCTCTACCTTAGCCCTTTGGTTCTTGTTTTGTTCCTTGGCTCAGGGAGTATTTCCAAGCAAAGTGGCCATCATTCATCATTGACTTTGTGCCCTCGCTCACTTTCTATAGACTCTATTTCCTGTGCCTAGGCTCTAGGTATTTGCCTCTCAGTAGGTCTTCATGGCTATGGTGGTTCCCTTAAGTCTAACCATGGGCATCTCATTGTGTAAGTGTCAATTAGGAGAGGATCACAAAGGTTCACTAGATAGGGATATATGATCATATAAAATAATGTTTATTGAAATGAATTCCAAGAAATAGAAACAAGAGGCTTTAGGTTATTTTACTTTTGTTGGTTTGTTTTTGTTCTCCTTCGTAGCTGTTTTTGATTTCTGTACTTTTTGTCTTATATGAAAGTTTATCTGTTTGGGGAAGGCAAGGAGAGTGCAGAAATGATGGGACAAAGGGTGAATAATGCAGCAGTGGTACTCACTGGATGCTACGGTGAAAATAAATTGTACAACTTGTGGGGGCAGGGTGATCAGGAGGGGAAAACTGGGAGAAAATGAGGGAAGAGGTGACACTGGTCAAAAAGAAAAGTACTCATTACCTGACTTATGTAACTGTTTCCTCTGTGTACATCACCTTTAAAATAACAATAAAAAATAAAATAGAATAAAACATGAGCATAGCTCTACTAGATTACTGTAAAGCACTCTTGCCAATCTCACCAGATTAGCCTTATCCCATTCAATCCATTCTACATACTTTGGCCAAAGCAATCATCCCTATTATGGAAATCTGGTTCTGATCTTCTCCTTCACAAAACCACACTGTGGCTTACTTCCAATATCTAGATATTAAAAAAAAAGAAACCTTTGAACAGCTTGACAAAAATCTGTCCCTTTCTATTGTTCCCAGCTTCAGCAGTAGTTTAAATCTTTAAACTTTCGTTATCCAACTCGACTCAACTTCTAGTTCCTAGTATCTGTTGAGTGAGTGAATGAACAAGCGAGTTTATTTCCTATTATAGTTTCTTCTGTTAGGGCTCATATTTTCATCTGCTCAACATATACTAGTCTCATAAAGTCAACTTTAAAACCAAATGAGGCATTTGAGCTGCTAAGACTCATAGTCCTTTCTGTCTTTTATTTCCACTGCAGCTTCCAAGATAAGTTTACTTTTCTTCTCTCAAATATTTGCTTTGGCTTCATTGAAATAATTCATCATTAGTTATCAGCAAATTTTAAAGCAATGGATTCAGTATAACAATTTTCATTCATGTGTGAATAATCCAGGGCAAAGTTCTTGAATGGGCTCCACACAGACAAGGAAAAGGCCTCTCCTCCCAGGTACCTGGAAGGGAGAGGGTGGATGGGTAGAACCACCCAGCTGCCCTTTCGAGGGCCTCCGGGGAGACATCTATGTGCTTGCAGAGTTGGAGAGTGCAGATGCACTGGGTAAGAACAAAGTTCTCATAACCAGCCTTGCCTACTGCCTCTCTTGTACCAACGGGCTCCAAAAATAGGCAATGAAATCATTTCCCCCCAGTACAGAGAAATTCAGCTGCTTATTTTATGCAGGTATAAAAAAGCTTCATGCCTATGATTTTAATTAGAAGATAAGACCAACATCATAAATGGACTTTATTTTATATGCCATGAGTTACAATATACTGAGTAAAGGTTGCAATCAAATACCTTGGGCAATGGGTTCTCTTGCTCAGTTTCTTTCTGGGAGTACATGCGCACTCTCTCTCTCGCGCACACACACATACATTTGTATGCACACAGTTGCATAGGCTGGCACATAAGTCTACACCCAAGTACCACACAGATGTGCATGCACACACACGCAACAGACTCCCCTAATGCAGATGCAATATAGACATGCAAGTATGCACACAAAAACAAATTTTTCTATAATATGGGATATTGACACTGGGTGGTGGCTTACGGAGCTTTTGTTTGTGAGAGTACATCTTTATTGAAACCTTTCTCTGACATTCTCATCAGAAATCCTTTTTATATTCTTTGATATCACTAGCAATGTCTCTGCTCCATCCCTGGTTTTCTGAGAAAAATGAAAGGAAGAAATAGACACCTATATATTCTGGGTTTCCGACCTCTGCTAGATACTTTGCCTGATATTTTATTCAAAACTTACACAAGACATGGGAAGTGAACGTGATTATTTGCATTTACAGATAAGAAAACTGAAGCTCAGGGTGGAAGCAATTTGCTATTCCGCCTCTGATTAACTCAAAATCCTCTGGCTACACAAAAACACACATACAACAAAACATACATACAGAATCAGATGTTTTTAAAAGAAGTCCAAAAGTAGGGGGAAAAAGCAGATTCAAGAAAGCCTTTGTCTTTCTCTACTCCTTATCTGCTATTGACCCAAGGGACACCAAAAATTAAATGAATAAGACTCAAAGGAGGAAATATAATGTTAATTGTTAATGCTACATGAGAAGAAGATGAGGGTACAATATCAAAATGAATGTAAGACCCAAAATGCTTCCTCATAAGCTAAGCCTCTTGGTAAAACATGTCTTATATATTATTGTTGTAAATACCTAAAGAAAAGCATCTCTTACTCATATAATTTTTGTTAAGCAGGCTTTCCCATTCAAACACCTCTGTTGACAAAGAACTAAAGTAAATGAATGAAGTGGATCAGGCAAGGCAGGAAGTAGTGGGAATCATGTCAAAATGGAAAGTACACATTGTTCCTCAAAATAAGTGGTTAAATATGTCCCACTGTGTTTATCAGGATACTAGACATTTCTTGGTTGGTATGTGACTCCTGGTTCAGTTGTCATAGTTTCGATGCACAAAAACAAAGTCATTTACAAGCTTTGCCCTTCAAATTGTATCTGTTGCTATATATGCATATAATTTATGGGGTGGATGTTCAGATATTTGTAAACTCTGCATGTACTGGATTTTGATGATGTTATTCAGACAGCGATCTCATTAGAGGTGTTTGCTTTGTTTAGCTTGTTATTTTGTTTTTGGTGGTGGTGGTGGCTTGGATTTTTGGTTTTGCTCTTGTTTTTTGTTTCATTCTGCTTTCTTTGTCTAACTTATTCTGATATAGGATCTTCAGTGGCTATAAGTGTTCTGGAAAGGGAGGGATATTTCACATGCAAGTTAGCAGGATGCTAATGCTATAGATTCTAGATGTAAATGTCTTCAGTGCAAATCCTAAGGCTGCTAATTAAGTATAAACAAGAGGAAGTTACTTAATTTTTCCAAGTCTGTTACCTTATCTTTAGAAAAAGGAGATAGTAAATGAACCTCCCTCACAAGACTGAGAAGAACATTAAATGAAGTCAAGATAAAGAGGCTTAGCAAAGACCAGGTACATGCTTGCTAGTGGCTTACCTATAGTGTACTATATTCATTACCCAGGCTATCAGCCCACTAAAGCCAGAAAAGAGGACAAAAATGTTAGAGACAAACAGGATTTTGGACTAATTGCCTCCTTTCTGACTCCCATCATTCCTGACTTTTGTAGATAAAGTTAATGGAGATGAGGTGTAAAACCCAAACAGTTACTGTGTAATAAGCAAGCTATTTTCAGTCCTGCAAGAAGAAAATGTTCTAGAGATCTTGGAGTGATGACATGCATAGGATTAACAATACCATATTGTATACTTGGAAATCTGTTACAATGACCCATCTTGCCAGGCACTGGTGGCTCATGGCTGTAATCCTAGCTGCTCAGGAGACTGAGATCTAAGGATGGCAGTTGGAATCCAGCCTGGGTAGGAAAGACCTTGACACACTTATCTCCAATTAACCTCCAAAAAGCCAGAAGTAGAGCTGTGGCTCAAGTGGTAGAGTACTATCCTTGAACAAAAAAGCTCATGGTCAGTGCCCAGGCTCTGAATTCAAGCCCCTGGAGTAGCGCATACATGCGCATACCTGTACACACACACACACACACACACACACACACACACACACGAAGGTAAAAGTCATGTTTATGTGTATGTATGTTCATCACAATTTAAATAAATAAACTAAGAGACAATGTGACATTTTGTATTTTACATTCAT